CAACGTGCTTTCACGCTTCCGAAATATCCGCACCTTGTGCGATGCTTGTCGAAAGCAAAAAAGACACATGAAAGCCAACAGTGCACACACATACATACCATCCATAGAACCATAAGGCATCTTATAAGGCAATCGAAAAAAGAAGCAGTGGAATGGAGGACGGGCGAGAGTGAAACACACGATGGTAAATTAGAGGAGATTTGACGTCTTGCCATGCAACTTCCAATCAAGGAACCGAAGAAGACAAGGTAGAAACCTTCGCTCTTCGAACTTTTGGCCCCGGGCCAGACAATCAACCACCATCTCCCACCTCGCTCGGGCACTGTTTATCCCCATCACTACGTACTCAGTGCAAACTCCAACGATGATCACCCCGTTAACTCAAACTTCTGAGAGAAGGTTAACCGACCCCCCATTTTTCAGGTCAATTTATAAGAAAACCATAAGGCCATTTCAAGCAAGCTCCACACCAATGTATAGAGTGCACTTCTTACTAACATATTTAAAAAAAAAAAATAAAAAAAATTAAGAACGCATAAAACAGCAACCCAAAAGTGCATTTTCAGACAATTTTGGCATGAAACACGTCATCCAAATTTCAGGATTTTCAGGCCTCCCAACAACACAAATTCTAATAACCCAAATAATACCAAATTTGGCAGACAGCAACCTTAAACCAAAACAAAAACAGGCAAAAAAAAAAAAAACCAAAAAACCAAAAATTTGACCCCCAAACCCTAATTTCAGTTTTGGTCCCGTTAGTCAGGAGCTGAAAATGAAGGTCCCCGTTAACCATTTGTGAAACTTCTACGTTGATCCACACGTGATCTTGCATTCCAACATAGAGATCTGTCGTGCGTCGTGCGATCCCACAAAGCTGCAACCAACTCGTCAAGGCTTTTCGACCTTCTGATCACCACCATCATCTAGGCATTACTCCAGTAAAGTTGGCAGATGTATTGCGAGAGAGCTAGAGCGACATGCTTTAAAGATTTATAATTGTAGAAGTAGCGGAAATGTTGGTGGAAAGTGTTCCACCAAATTGAGATAGAAGAGAGGGAGACGAGATAGGGGAAGATACATAGGAGGGTCATTTCGATCTGATTGGAGTGCACGTAGCAGATTGAGGGGTTCAAAGCCTCCTTACATGTTGTCGTTTGAATGCTACAGTCACTTGGTGATTGACAAGGCTTTCCCTCGTGTGGACGAAGGCGGGAAAAAAGTTAACGAGAGACAACGCAAAGCAAAACCAAGATTCAATAGGATCAAGAAAGAAGAGAGGGCGGGAAGGAGAGGAAAAGAAGATAGTTACTTGCTAGTGATAGTGCGAAGAAAGGGACGAGAAGTGTGAGAAAGGTTGCATGCAAGAGCACGGACGCAAAAAAAAATGTACTCGCAAAAATTGTTAAGGCACCAGAAGGTCCAGAACAATTACGCGAAATGTATGTGCTACTGCGTCTAATTCTTAAATCGAAATCGAGATTGAAATGTTTAAGAAGAATTCCGCGTGTGCACACTAAGGCTTGTGTTTTTCTACGTTGATTTCCAGTCTACCATACATAAAAGAAAAGTTCACGGGGAATGTAGGGATGTCTCCAAAATTTACGGTCAAAAGAAAAATGACTCGTTGCTAAGTATTTCGACACGCATCTGCGTTCCCCTGAATTCTTAAACTCAAAAATAATTTTCGAGCGTGTTCGCTAAGGTGTGCGTAAAAATATGAACTAAGATGAAAAATTCAGACAAATAGAGAGGGTAATTCTGAAAACTGCGAAAGAGAAAATTTATTAAAAAAAAAAGATTAATCGACCCAAATGGTCATCGATACCCCAATGAAGACAAAACTGTCAAAACCTGAAAGATGGTGTCTGAATCCGAATGCGTAACGAAAATATAGTGTAGGGAAGCTCGTGCGTCACACCACTCTTACTAGGGAAGCTCGTGCGTCACACCGCTCTTATGGAAGCTCGTGCGTCACACCGCTCTTAGCCATCCCTGTAGCATGGAGTGTGAGCTCTCTCGTCTATTCCCTCAATGCTACTGTCAGCTTGTAGGAGGGCTGGGATGTCTGCAGTGTCCGTGACTCCGTGCTTATGCTCCGTCCAAAGTATATATATGTCGGACCCTCTACGAATGTGCTGTGTTTATTGTATGCTAGCACAATTATGCTCATTCCTACAACCAGTTAAATCTTTTCTTTGGATGTACGCCATAGGACAAACATAGCTGTTTGGAGGGATTTCTTATGATGAACATCTTAGCACAAACACAACACTGGTCAGACTTGCCCCTAGGATGGAGGGTTTACAGGGTTTTGAGGCTTTTTGCCAATGGTTTCTCAACCGGGGCTCGGGAGGGGGAGAACGGTGCCTTTCCTGTACTCAGGACCTCAGGCAATGTTGTCTCCCTCTTCTGTATCCCATGGGCGCATGCAACACGATGACCAACACCATGATAATGCCATGCAAATCGGGAATGAGTCAGCAAACCCTTTGATCAACCGACAACATCTTGTACAACGCATCAGGAGTCATATAGGCATGTTGGCAGCATCGATTCCTGTCCTGCAAGCCCGATAATATGTGGCTGACCCCGCTTCGTTGTGCCCTGATCACATCATGCACATTTGTTCGTATGGACGGATTATGGATCCTTGTGTCACGTAGGTATCTTAGCAGTAGCAACTACTGCCCTGCAACTGCAAGACATGGTCGGCGCTGCTTCACCATGCCATCATGCACATTCCTATGGATTGCGAAACTTTGCGCCCTCAAGATAGCCAATCACTCAGCGCCGAGAATAAAAGCACAAGCGGGGTTTGACACCTTGCGTGTTGAGGATGGGTTTGAGACCTTACGAGCAGGGTGGAAAGGTTGACAATTCACCCATCGATAAGTTCAATTCCCAGTGTTTTTTCAGGTGGCCTCCATCAGGGCGGTTATGCATCCGCCGAAGCGAGCACGACCCGCAAGTTCATTGAACGTGCAAAACAGCCATCTCTGTGCAAAATTTGTCATATCCTTTGTTCCCCATCTTTCAGTAATGAACTAGTTTTGACTGATATTTTCGCAGTTTTGAAAAGCGAAATTCATCACAAACAGTTTCGCGCATTCAGAAACTAAACACTTTGAACGAGCATTAAGTGAACACGGCTCAACGGGGTAAACACGTTTACCGATGGGTGCACTACACTGTGGGGGGGGTGGGGGATTGGCACTTGGGGCCTTGTGGTTCGTGGGGGGTCATGGGGGTTCGGGAAGGGGCAAGGAACCCCCCCTAATCCCTGTTTTTCAAAAATGAAAGTTAGAAATGAAACAAAAAAACAATTAAGAAAAACAAAAAAAGGGAAAAAAACAAAAACAAAAACAAAAAAGCCTTACCTGCATCATGCTGCATGTGTTTGTGTGTGTGTGCGCGTGCAACAGCACGCACGTGCAACAACACGCACGTACAACAACACGTGCACACACACACATACACACACACACACACAGACACACGCACACACACACACAAACACGAATGGATTTAATCAATTCGATTGAATAGAGTCCATCGATCTTTTCGATTGGATTGGATCTATTTGATTGGATCGGATCTATTTGATTGATCAAATGGATTCGATTTGATTGATTAGATCAATTCCATGGTTCGTTTGTGTGTCGTGTGTTGTGATATCTACTATACACTCGAAAAAAACGTGAACGTGCCAAATCGTTTCGTCGGACTTTCACCGACTCATCAGGAGGTTAAACCCCGAACGTCTGGCAATGATGCATTTGATCGATGGATAACGACTCACCACATTGACCAGAGTTAGCGATACACCTGGGATAAGCGGTCGACTTTAGTCACATGGACCCTGCTATCCGTGATGTGTGTGTGTGTGTGTGTCTGTGTGAGGGCCCGTGCACAGTTACACACATACAGAGTCATTACAGACACACACACACACACACACACACACACACACACACACGGGTTTAGTTTTTCTTTCATTTTTCTAAAACGCGGTGTACCCCCTGATGGCTCCTGACGAGTGCAGACCGATGGGGGGCGTGCGTTGAATTTTGTCCAATCAAGCGCCACATGGTGCATTTGAACGACTTTGAATGCGCACGAACATAGTTTAAACGCGCACGTCTGAATGTGAACGCCCATTCGTCGCGTTCAGACAGTTACATAGCGGTCAGGCCCATGCCATGCCAGCGATACCGTGGTTAGCGATACCATGGCTAGTCTAGTCACTAACCCGTGGCCCATGGGCGAACTGGGCACAACCTTTTTTTTGGTCCTTAAAGCAAAGCTATATTCTTCTCTCAGTTTCAGCTCTCACTACGTACCTACCACTACTCCAAAGCCTAAACCGGGACCCGTGCAAGCATAGCTATCTCTCACAATCAAGGGCCCGGGATGCATGTTGCCCCCCGCCCTAATCGGTGGTGGTCAGGGAGTAGGGCGGGGCCACCGGCATGGGGGCCCGGCTAACGCAAACACACAGCATTTTGCCAGTAGCCAAGACATAGCATTTTGCCAGTAGCTGCGCCTCCCATCTACTCCCCCTGTCCCCAGGAGTAACAGCAGTGTCTATAGCCAAGGAGCCTACCAATACGGACCGGGGGAGCAAGCCAACTAATCTTAGGGTCTCGCCGCACGGCACACGAAACGAAAACGAAACGAGTGCATCTGCCCAACAAAGGTGGCAATACACTCTTTACCATTTATAGCAAACCGACGAACCTGGCCATTTTCTGTGGGAAGATTCATTCGTTTCGTTTTTCGTTTCGAGTGCCGTGCGGCAGCGCCCTTAGTTGGTTGACAGCAAGCGCGCCGAGGCGGTCAGTAGGAATTGAACCCACGGCCTGCTGAGTGCCACTTGCGTGGCTAACCAACTGAACTTCCCGCCTTCATTCATTCCTTTTCTTTGTTTGCCCCCTACCCTTCCCCGCTAATTTCGTGACAACGGTGCTAGAAATCGGCTGAGTTGCTGGTCCCTGGAGTTGGTCGTCGGTCAGCTTGATGGTTGACTTGACGACCGTCATAAATAGACACGAACACCGCTGAACGATTGATACTATCATTTGCGCATCGTCAGCACTCTGCAGATGAGCGGGAAGTGAAGACTGAAAGCCGAAACCATCGCTTGGCGGCTGGCGCTGGCTGTGGAAAAGTAGAGAACGTGCGGGTTCAAGACGACCGACCGAGGCTGGTGGCTACGGGTGGCTGCGAGTTGCTACTGGTGCTGGTGGGTCTAGGACGGGTTTGCGGTTTACCATTGGCGTCTGGCACAGGTGGGGCTGGTGAGCGGCATCCGCAATGGCGCAGGAGAAGATGAGCCGTCCAGAGGAGATCGCACAGAGTATTGGGAAACAGGAGGGCGAGCGGCAAGACATAGCTGGCAAGCCCATCACGAAGGAAGATGCGTCTCATATCCAGGCCGAAGCAATGAAGGCGGGTGAGGAAGTGAAACCGGGGTCATTGGCCGCTCGTGCGCAGTCGGCAGCTTCCGTGAATGTGAGAGAGGGGCGGATTCCCCCAGGACCAGGTCTGGGAGATGTCAAACCGTTCGATGAGGAGCCGTACAAAAGCGATTTGCAGCAGCATGGGATGGAGATTGGCGGGAAGCCGGGGGAGAAGCGAGACGTGGCGGGAAAGCCGATCACACCCGAGGATGCTAGTCGGATTCAGCAAGCGGAAACAAGGTTAGGTCATGACACCTCGAAGGGAAGCTTGTCCGCGCGCGCGGCTTCTGCGGCAGCAGCAAATGTGCGCGAGGGGATCGTCAAGCCCACTCCCGGGGGCGGGACAGCCGGCGCCACTCCGCGTGACCGCAGGAGTACGTTGGAGCAGCGGGCTCCTCAGTCGCGAGAGGAGCTCCGACAAGAAATTCGTCGTGACCGTCGTCAAGAACAGGGACAGTAACTCTACAATAGGAATCCAGCGTAGAAGGATTCAAAGGACAGCGTGCAGTGAACTGGCGCCAAACCGCGACATATGTGACCGTACTACCCGTTTTCACCCCGAATACGATTTACGGTGGTTATAGCTGTACTATGAGCAGCTTTGAGTCTAGATACAGCAATAATGACCGTACTTTGTATTTCGGTCAAGACGGAACGAAGCACTTCTAAGCAGTTAATACCGTAGACTCTGAGACGGATGATCAGGACGCGAACTCGGCAAGGGCTTTTGCGGTGATACGATGGGTTGAGTTCGGTCTTTGTGATAGCTTCCTCCCCCGAATACAACGCACGGTCATTATAGCTGTATTTGGGGTACATTTCAATGATTGCAGTCTAAATACAGCTACAATGACCGTACGTTGTATTCGGGGTGAAGAAGGTAGTGAGGGCTCAATAATGTCGTGGCCGAGCGGAGGGATACTGACCTTGAGTGTGCGTAACGGGGGCGTTAGAATTGCTGAAAGTGGAGGGGGCGTTAGAAGCGGAGGGGGGAGGGGGGCATTAGGGCCAGATGCCACTAGCCCAAATTTTTCATTTCTGACCGTTGATCTTCGTAATCGAGGGTGGAAAATGAATAATCCAGGGTAGTGGGATCTGACCCTTAGGCTTGCTAAAGCGAGGGGGCATTAGGGTCGCGAAAGTGGAGGGGGCGTTAGGCTTGCTAAAGCGGAGCTGAATGGCAGTCGAAATTTGAGGAGGTGGAATTTGGAAAGACGGTCAGACGTCGACCGGAAGTGTTTTTTTTTTTCCGAAGGTAGTTTGTCATTCTTCTCGATGGCAGTTTGTCGACCAAATTTGAGAAGTTGCAAATCCGGTGTGACATCGAGCCGAAATGTATTCAGTTTATTGACCAGGCGCAGTGTCTTTGACTACGTGTTCCCTCCGAGTCGAACATAACGCACTCTGTAAATGAACGTATACAAGGTATGTTTCCAGCCTGATGCAGTCTAAATGAGGGTGCGGTGTGTTCGGGGGATGACGGTAGCTGTCGTGGCGAAATGGAAGCACTGCAGACCATCCAAAAGCGCAGCGGGGGCGCTGTCTTGCTGAAACAGAGCCGCATGGATGTTTTGACCAGTGGATTAAGTACCAACCAAAGGAATGTTGAGAGAGAGTAATCGGATAATATGCCATTAGTGAGAAAGTAGGCCAGATGCTGACCGAGAAAAGTCCGCCCTTGAAGGCACCGGTCGTGAAGGTCTCCTCAAATGCACTACCGTTCCAACCCGAACACGACGTACGACGTACGGTCGTTATAGCTTTATTAGGCGCAACTTTTAGTCTAGATACACCGAGTTGAACGATGACCGGACTTTGTATTCGGGTGGAGACGGTAGAAGGTACGACCGGTAGCTGTGTGGACTCAACAGAAGGTACTACCGGTAGCTGTGTGGACTCGACAGAAGGTACTACCGGTAGCTGTGTGGACTCGACAGAAGGTTCTACCGGTAGCTGTGTGGACTGTTCAGTGAATCGGGAGATTGCTGATAGACGTTGATCGTGAAGGCACAGATTGCTGATAGACGTTGATCGTGAAGGCACTGAAGCCTCGCCTGCTCATCTAAGCCACTATTAGCGTTGACGCATCCGAAATAAATGCGTGGCGTGGGATATGGGGATTGGATGGGAGTGCGAACTTGTAAGCGCCGTAGTAAGCGGAATTCTCGACACAATTGGCATGTTGTTGGGGAAGGGTGGGTATCTGAAACTTGTATGTTGTTGGGGAAGGGTGGGTGGATGAGATTCACGAGAATAGACGTCGAGTCGAGGAGTCCTTTCTATACACAGATTGACGTGGTATTTTGGTAGTATTTCGACCAGGAATGTACCTCTCAGGCCACAGTTTGTGTCGTACTAGGCTACGACGACAGGATCGACTGTTGTGAGCGGTGAGGGAAGGGGAGGGTGATAACATTCGTCTTGACCGGAAACGCATTTGGTTTTGTGCAGTGTACTTGATTGCGGCCTTCCAATCAGGCCAAGGATACACGTTGAATTTGGTTGAAATTGTTTGCTTCTTTACTGTGAATCTGTGATGGCGAGTAGGAAACGCTTGAGTGGCCTCGTTGTACAGTCTATGCAAGACGGGTCTGAGGTGTGAGTGGTATAGGGAGGGGAGGATGATGACAGCCGGTTTGTTCTCGCTTGTAGTATACTCGGTGGTGGTGTTCCGGTCGGGCTTAGGATACACGCTGGAATCGATTTGTTCTTTCGCCTTTCCGACTTCTCTTTTCATTTGGAGCTGTGATGCGCAAAGCTTCGCTGTTTGATTACTACTCCCGTTGAGTTTCAATCGGCTTGAGCGCTTGCTATCTTTCCAATCACGCTGAAATCGGCGACTTCTCTACTGTGAGGGTTTTTGTTACAAGGTTGTACAAGAGTAGCGAGTGGTTTCAGAAGGGAAGGGTGATGACAGGCTCAACAGCCTAAAAAAAATAATAATAATAAAAAATAAAAAAATAAAAAGACAGGTTTAACAGCCGGTTTGTCCTCGTTTGTACATATATTTGGTGGTGGTGCTCCAGTCAGGCTTATTAGGATTGTTACGGGGTTGTAAAAGAGTCGCGAGTGGTTTGGGAAGGGAAGGGTGATGACAGGCTTGGCACTGTTGACATCCGGTTCGTCCGCGTTTGTAGTATATTTGGTGGTGTCATGGTGGTACTCCACTGCAGTCAGGCTTAGGATGTACGCTGATTACTTCTTTTTTGTACTGTGAGGGCTCGTAGGAACCGCTCAGTGCCCTTATTACAGGGTTGTTGGAGAGTAGCGAGTGGTGTCGTCGGAACGGAAAGACGATGATATTCGGTATCGGATTCCTCGTTTGTAGTGTACTTGTTGCAAGTGTCCCACTCACTGTAAGCCTGTAAGGAGGATGCATGTGCGAAGTTGATTGCTCGTGTATCGTGTAGCTTGTAAGATTTGAGTGAGTGTTGGATAATTTAGGGTTGGATTTTGTCGCGGAATGGTTTTCCTACCATGTACTATCAGTTTTTGAATCCTTGTTTGAGGGACAGGTCTTCCCAGGC